ATATATATATATATATATATATATATATATGTATGCTCTTCTTTAGATCACAATACTGTCTTAATCCAGCGTGCATGAATGCGTCTAAACCTTGGATCGCTCTATATTCGTTACAAATTTTGACTTTGAAAACAGTTTATCGGACGATGGTTTCTTGGAAATTTCAATGTGTATTTGCTTTCTTGTTATCAAACTATGAGATCGATTGTGTCCATATTTAGCTGGNTGGAAATAGTCACAACAATATACATGAGACATCGTGCATTAAGGGATCTGTTAAGAATCCTAATCATAGGAAATACACTTTCTCACTGAATGTTGACCGTCATAGAAACATCATCAGTATCATTCTTTCATCACTGTACAGCGCAATGCAGTGAAGAGAACTTCACTGATCGCTGCCAAGCTCATATTGCATACGAGGTAGATAAGAATGTGTAACGAGGTTAGGGATCGGACGTAGTTTTAGGGACGGGAAAAGAAAGTGAGCCTCTATGGTCAATACACAGAGTAAACAGTGCATGCATACTATTTCAAACATCCTGGTCTGATAAGAGATGACAGCAAGATCGCGATTGCTGTCGGTTTGCTACCATAACATTCAGTGTATCCAACCAAGCGGTTTCAGAGTCTTTTGAACCCCAACCCGGAAGACGGTAGACACCAACTCTGCCTCTGTGCATTTTTTCATGCCTCGTCTTCACGTGGCTTTCTCCAGCCTGTAACAGCCACTGCAAACAAGGTGCAATGCGGTAGGCGACCGTAGGACATACGCAAAACGTGTCCGAATCAACGGAGCCTATTGAGCTGAATTCAATGCGATAGCGAGTTCTTGTTCAATTAATTCCCAAACAATTTACGACTTATTCCTGAGTAGCTAACTCACTCCATTCCACTTGCACCAGACTACTTAGGCCTCGATTGTCGAAAACTCTACAAGTTTCGTTGTAGAATTCCTGAGTCTTTTAATACTGCATTGCTAATCATAAGGGACGTATTGCGTAGTTGAGTGTACAAGATTCCGTCCGGGGTGATGCAGTATTCAACCCGAAGAATAATGGTAAGCCTAATGAACAAACTGGAAAAATGTATTTCGCAGTTGTCTGTATGAGTGATCGGCTGAGTTTTACTGAAATAGACTGCCCCATGTTAGACACATTCTCTTCATCAAAATCAAATCCATTTATTCGTTCTGCGACCGCTAGAAATAGGCTCGTCTCCGGTGAATACTGGTCTGCCCAAACTAACCGCTACTGTTTGTGATACATTTGCTCCGCGTTTCCGATTTCACATCAATCTGTTCCATTAACTCGCCCTCATATCCCCCCCATACAGTTCCAGCTTAAACTGGGTTCCACTTCGAGGCCAAGAAGAAACTTTTGGAACCACTCCGCCCGCAGTAGTATCCGACTCGATTCTCATCAACAAACTGGCTGTGGGTGATGAAATTGAGGCTCGCTGTTTGGCCGTGAAGGGAATCGGTCGTGATCACGCCAAGTTCTCTCCTGTCTCCGCGGCCTATTACAAACTTATGCCCATTATTAAATTGTTACAGCCCGTCGAGGGTGAGCTGGCCAAAAAATTACAAGCATGCTTCGCACCCGGGGTGATTGGGGTAAGTAAATTGTAAACTTGTTTCGTTTATCCCCCAGAAGATACCTATCGAGACGAGGCAAGTAGGTGGTTGAATGCATTTCGACATGGTCAGACACTCGATCGAAAATGAGTCCCTAGCACAAATCTAGCATGTCATTTACTACTTAGATTGTGTGTGTGTTTGTTGGCGAATATTCCTACTTCTTCGACCCATGAAAGTGAAGCATTTCTTCGTTTTCAAGATGATCCCTAGCCCAATTTTCCATGTTTATTTTGATGCAACTCGGTCTGTAAGATATCAGTCGGTTCATGTTTATTCCAGCTGTTGTTTTTTGATGAACCGTTTTGTTCAATTAAGTTACTTTTTTGTCATACTGGTGTTTGTGAGCACATTTTGTCGATCACAAGAAAACTTGTATAAGCTACTTGATCGTTGATTCTAGCAGTCCAATGCTGCTAATTCATCCTGTCACGACGTGACTGCACCTTGACGTGGTGTGATGGCTCGTGAACCGAACGAGCCACACAAAATGGCTTTGTTCAAGCCAGGAGATCTTATCATGACTGGAAGGTCAATGGGTAGAGGTCAGATGCAGTTCAGCCTCCTGGTCCTCCAGGTTGGGGGTTTGACTAGAATTGGCGTTTCAGTCGGTGAAAAATGGTGGAGTAATTGGGCCTGCGCTTCGTTTCACCCGCTGCCTTGCGGCTATGTTCTTGTTAGAACTAAAGGCTTGAGTTGAGAACCCTTATCATTTTCCTACTTAGTGGCTGGACACCCTAGCATTACCCGTCCATCAACCCCCAATGCATACGCATTGTGAGTTTGGCATCGATCAGTGAGTTTCGCTGAACGATGATAATGATGACCTATCCTGAACGTTGCCTAACTTTCACACCCGTCTCCTTGCAGCACGTCTTATTCCCGTTTATTGAATGGATCATTGTCCAGTCTGTTTTCAAGAACGGCAAATGATCGACCAATTGACAGGGATGCGAAAGTTTGGTGGTGGGTTGTGGAATGCGAACAAACGAACCTCCCCCCGGGTGGCGGGATGGTGAATAAATGACCCGGACTGGATTCCAACCGTTCATTGATCCAAACATTTTACTTACCTATCTGTAATTGCCTTCTGTCTTTTTTCTTACGCTGTCTCTAAGTTCACCGGTAAGCTTTCCGGTATTTTTTTTTATTGTACAATCCCTTTTTTCATCCCTTGTTCCCCAAATGAATAACTTGGTTCATCCAAATGGTTCCCTATATCTTCGAATGCATTTTGGTGGCCTTCGTAATCTCAAGTGTCCCTAGGGTTGTCCAGAAGGCTTTTTCTTAAACTGTGCATCAAAATCCTTTTGAGCCGGACAAAATGAAAAAAAAGATTATGATAATTCGTTAATCAAGAATAAATTATGCTCGTATGGGATGGGTGGGAGTGGATCGCCCCCATTCACACGAATTACCTGTTTCTTCCAACCATGGGACTCGAATAATCGGTCATTGAAATTTAGCCCAGGAAGCAGGAAACCAGTACTCTACTGCTAATTAGCCAATCCCTTGAGCAATGGATTTGGTTCCCCGCTCTCAAACGGATTGTGTTCCATTTCCTCACAAAACTCATTCATTCAAGTGTTGCTCTCCGTTCCTACCTTTTTTTCTCGTATCTATCAAAAATTCATTTCTTTCTTATTGATAAATCACTGAAAGTGGCTGATTATTTTGATCATTTATCTGTTGTAAACTTCTTTTTTTCGACCCCGTAGAATTCTGTTGCACATATTCGCTTGAGTTCGCTTTATTTAAAAGCCCCTATCCCTCGACGTTTGCAAGAGGTCACAAAACGGATGACTGACTCCGGAATTGTACTGGATCATTTCTTTGACCTTACCAGTTTTTCCTTCTTTCTAAGTTGATTGATTTGACTGACTATCATCATTCAAGCTTCATCTTCACGCACAATCCTCAGTTCATCGACTCAACCGTACACTCGGAAGCATTGGATTCGAGTTTCGCTCTTATTAGAGCATATTAGCATATTATTAGTGCATATCCACCATCCTGTCCGGGATCCTAACTCCGGACCCATCGCATGGAAGGCGTGTGTGTGTTAACACTGAGCCAACCAGCTCATGCCAGGGCTGAACCAAATTGCCTATTCATGTTTGTTCGGGTGTTGTAAAATGGNNNGCCCCCCCCCCCCCCAGTTATTCTCATTGTATGTATCACTTATCTTTCGAGGCACAGATGACTCATTCCGTCCACATGATGATACTGGTCACCTACACGCTCTTATCATATACCGATTGAACTCCATCCTTACAATCCGAGTATAGCGGCGACCCTCGTATGACTTGTGAGCTGTGCTCTCGACTGTATTGATATTTGGTTCTGTGAATGAATTACAATCACTGAACAATATCCACACAATAGATCAAAGTTCACGCTTTCCTGGCCCGGACATCTGCACCTCGTACTCGTCGTGTACACTGCGTATGCGTAAACATTTTGCTCAGTCCTCGTATGTTTTCTTTCTCGTGAAAGCCCTTCAGTAGTATTTACTGAGGGTTCTTAATTTAAAAAAAATACGCATCAGAAGGTTTTAGCTATAAAAATGCTATGCCGCTACCACTCCAACGAGCTTGACCTATCTACTTCCTGGGATGAACTTAAAAAGGGCATATATACTTAGCACGTTACTGTGTAATGGCCCGATCACGTGTGCTGTTTTTAACCTCACCTACAGCCAAGCCTTTCTGCCTGAGCTCATTTTTCATCACTGTCTGGGGGATCGCAAACACGATTCTCCGCGGTTGGTCGTATTGTTCCGCTAGTTCTGCTATACGGAGTGGAAAACGAAATAAAAATAGGCTGTCGGTGTTTGAACACCACTGTCTGCGCAGCATAGCACGAATCTGGTGGGTAGCCGGATGAGTAATGCTGAGGTTAGGCTTTGAGTTTTAGGTAATCGCGGTCGTCCACTGGATCAAGTGATCGAGATCAGGTTCGTTGGGTCATGTATTGCGCATGTCACCAAATAGGTTGCCACGGCGAGCGATGTTTGCCGAGGCAGGTAGTGGGTGGAATAAAGCCAAGGGTGGTCAAGCTATGATCTGGCACGAGGGCATGAAAACCCTAACCAGAAGACTGGGTCACATGGGCCCCGTTAGGCTCCCTGGTTGGGGATCACTGGATGCTCGTAACCGATGGTTAGAGACAGTGAGTGATATGGCTAGATGTCGTAAACATTGGCGTTCGAGCATCAATTTCTCTGTAACAATATTCCACTAAAATAACAAATAAATAATAAATTTTCGATCCCGCTTGCAACCTTTCCTGTCTCTCTCCTAATGTTCATCCAAATGGGCAGCCAAAAGGCAGCAACCAAAGCCGCACGAATGTGCATGGCTAATGGTTGTACGAACTGAACTGAGCTGATCGCAGTGTTTGCACTTTATATCGAAATAGTCACGCATGGATTCGACGTTCAAACCAATTTCAATTTATTCGAAAAATCATTTGTTATTGTGTTTCATTCCGTTGAAGATCCGTCCAGAAACACACGAAGCCTATGTTCTCAATCCACGCTTGGATAACGGATCGCGGGAGTATATGCGTCATCCGGAGTTTCGGGATGACGTCATCGTTGTGGGTGGAGACCCGTCACATTTTATATTCAATGTGGAATCCATCGCCCCAGATCATCGTCCTCCCGCTCGTTTGGTTCGTGCGGCAATCGAGGTGATGATTAGCAAGTGCTCCCACTATCTGGCTATTACTGATGCACCAGGGTTCGGGGAACGCTGTGCGGACGAGACGAAAAGGGCTATATCAGACACAGAAACGTCTACAAATGTGAGTCTGATTGTCGTTGTTCATTGTTTTGCTTCACAGTTCCCATTATCATTGACCAGTATGTGTGACTATTGTATGCATGACATAATACCCCTCCCCCCATTTAATTTGGGTGATGGTGACGCAGTGGTTTAGTGTCCGTCACCGGCGTGCTTTGGGCGCAAGGTTCAAGCCCCGCCACCACCACTCACATTTGGTGATAAGCAGCTTAGCTGTCGTCCGGCTCAGTATCACATCTAACCTAGTGGGGCCTTGTTTGGTTCGCCACTCCAAGTCCCGGGGCTTAGGTTACCGGTTTAGATCACGGAACAGCAGGTCCTCGTGATAATGGGGTTCATGCTGTCTGCTATTCATCACACTAAGGTGTTCACATTGTTGTTTAGCGGATTGAAGTGTTATATTAAAATTATGAAAAGTTCAGTAACCTCGGTGGGATTTGAACCCACGACGCATGGACGCCACCTACGCTTTTGTACAGCGCACGCTCTAAGAGATGAGCTACGAGGCCACACCGATTGTACTGATCTTTTTACATTCAACTTACAGAGGCATACACCAGTTCGCATATAAGCTGATTGCCCCCACAAGTTTTCCTTAGCATTCACCGGCGTCCACCGAATTAGTTTCTAAGGCAAGCGTAGGCGGCGTCCATGCCTGGGTTCGAATCCCACCAAGCGTCTCAAATGGCCTCTGCAGAGGAAGCTCTACTAACTGCTTTCCCGTTGCGGGGGTGTTTTCGCACCAAAGTGAGAGAACGAAAAGCCAACATCCGAGGCTTTAACCGGGTCGGTGAATCATTGGTAGTTCACCTTGGGGGAGTTGATCAAAAGCCCT